ATTAAAATAACTAAGAGGTTTTTCCAGAATGTTTTAATCGATTAAAACAAACCTGCTATCAGTTAAAATAACTTAGAAAGTTTTATGAAATCTTTTGGCAGAATTACAATCGATTAAAATGCGTTTCAATCGATTAAAATCACTAAGTGAACTTTTTCCAAAGTGTTATAATCGATTAAAACAGATTGTTATCAGTTAAAATCACTTAGAAAAGTTTATAAGAATGTTTAGCAGTATTTTAATCGATTGAAATACGAAACAATCGATTAAAACAATTAGGAAGATTTTTTACAAAGAGTTTTAATTGATATAAACGTTGTCGTATCAGTTAAAACAAATCTGGAAAATAATCAAGATCATTTTAACAGATTAAAAGAAGTTTTAACAGATTAAAACAAGATTTTTAACATATTAAAAGATTATTTTAACAAATTAAATAAACCAACAAGTTTGGAAAATCTTCTATAAAAACGAAATTGCTTGAACCTTTTGAAACACACCTTTCGCCAATCAATCAAGCAATCATAAGTGCTACTTTCAAGAGAGAATCATGCTAGTTTTGTGAAGTTCTTAGAAGTTCTTTCTTGAGGCAATATTTGCATTCTTTTGGAGAAGAAACTCATTCTGCAGAACTGCATAAACCTGGTTTGGGTGTTCTTGTTTCTTCTTTTTGTTTCTTTACTTTCTTTACTGTATTGTGGGTGCCTGGAATTGTGGGCACTGGTTTCTGTGGCTAGAATTTGGCTACAGGGTTGTTCAAGAACTGTAATTTGGTTCTTGGTGAAGGTTTAGGTGCAGGGACTGAAATTTTGGTTCTTGTGGTAGATTGAGTGTGAGATTAAAGTTGTAATCTGTAAAATGTTCAATCTAGTGGAACCCAACTGAAATTTGGCTGGAAACTAGACGTAGCCCTGGGATTGGGTGAACTTGTATAAATCTTGGTTGTATCTTTCTAAACCTTTCTCTCTTTAATTCTGTCACTGCCTTTATTTTGATTGCTTGCTGTGTTTGATTCAAGAACTGGTCAGAATTCTTAATCTTTGAAATAGATAATCTGTAAATTGCGAAAATCTTTCAAAGATCAATTCACCCCCCCCCCTCTTGATCTCAGCCTACATTTCTAACAATCCTTGTTTATCTAGTTATAGAACTTTCATTTGTAACACATGTCACCACTCAAAACAAAAGAAATTATCTTTTTTTGTTAAGCAATTCTCATGTAGCTAAACCTTTTGAACTATACATGGACCCAAATATTTTTTAATAATTGTGGATGATCACACACTTTTTATATGAGTTTATTTAATATTTTTCAAAAATGAAACATGAACACATATAATCAATTTTATCACTCATAGAAAATCAATTTAAGACTCGTGTTAAACACATTCGCATAGATAATGGTTTTAAATTTCTTATGCATCAATATTTTCTATCTAAAGGATCATCCATCAAACCACATGCATAGAAACACCCTGGCAAAATGAAATTGTTGAATGGAAATACCAACATTTGTTAAATGTTACACAAGTCTTACTTTTTCAATCAAATTTACCACTAATTTTTTGTGTTTTACTTTACTTCATGCAGTTTATTTAATTAATTACATTTCCACCCCTTTCTTGCATAATATATCCCCGTATGAAAAGTTTTATCAACATCCTTATGACATTTCTAACCTTCGTGTTTTCGGTTGTCCATGTTACTAAAATATTATAACTATTAATCATACTAAATTTAATCCACGTGCTCACCCTTCCATTTTTATTTGCTTCAAACAGCACACCAAAGATCATCTTCTCTATGACCTCTACACTCATAATGTTGAAACCTCCCATTTACCTTCAAGATTTCCACAGTACATTTACAACTGGACCATCTTCTTCTCTAAGTATCCGCTATTCTCTTGCACATTCTCTTTCTTATGAATATCTTTCACCCTCTTTTCATCATTTTTATTCATTTCATCTGTCTTTGAGCCTCGTTCATATGTTGAAGCCTCTAAACATGATTCTTGGATTAAAGTCATGCAAGCTGAAATCATTGTCCTCGAGCAAATAACACTTGGTCTCTCACTACTCTTCCTCCCCATAAAACAACCATTGGGTGTCGTTTGATATACAAGATTAAACACAATGTTGATGATCCCATTGAGAAGTATAAAACTCATCTTGTTGCCAAAGGTTACAACTAAATGGAAGATTTTGATTTTCTTGATACGTTCTCTCCTGTCGATGAGCTTACGACCATTCGTCTTGCTCTTGCCCTTGCTGTCATTCATCATTGGCACCTTAAGCAATTAGACGTCAATAATGTTTTTTGTCATAACGATCTTAATGAAGAAATCTATATGTAATTGCTACCACTCTTGAATGCTTCCCAGTCCGGTCAGGTCTGTTGGCTATAATGTTCTCTCTATGGCCTTAAGCAGGCTAGCCGTTAGTGATTTGTGTGACTCTCCATATTTTTCTTATCCAATGGTTATAGTTTACAAACAGTCACCATCCAATCATTCTCTCTTTCTGAAAAAGAGTTGGGTTCTACAATCACCATTCTCCTCATTTACGTGGATGATTGATTTACGATTCTTCATGGGTCTTCCCCCCCCCCCCCCCTGACTAGCATCTACACTCATGGATTACTCCAATCATCTTCATGCTACAGCTGGTACACCACTACCTGATCCTTTTGTATATCCCCTACAACTTTAACGACTTATTTACCTTATTACTACATGTTCAAACATTACTTTTACAATTCAACTCTTTAGTCAATTCGTCTCTCAACCTACAACCTCTCACCATTCGTGTTTTTCTTGCGGCTTCTATTACCATCCAACTCAAGGCTTTCAATAACTTCGATTGGGTTGGATGCCTTAAATCGTGACATCATGTCACTGGTTTCTCTATTTATCTTAGTAACTCTCTCATCTTCTGGCACTCCAAGAAGCAATCGACTATCTCATGTAACTCTTCTGAAGTTGAATATCGTGTTTTAGCTTCCAGCACTTATGAAATTTAATTGCTGACATATCTATTAAATGATGTTGGTGTTCGTTTCACACATCCAACTTTGATTTATTATGACAACCAATATGTACTTCAAATTGCTTCCAACCAAGTTTTCCATGAACGTACCAAACACATTGACTATCCTATTCTCCAAGAAAAGGTCACTACTGGTTTGATTAAACTGCTACGGTCTCTTGTTCCTCATATATTGCTGACATATTCACAAAATCTCGTTCTCCTGTTGCTTTTGTTGACATTTGTTCCAAGTTGGGCATGTCCAATATTCACGCCCAACTTGAGGGGAGTTCTTAACCATATCATACTAGCCACGTTTTCTGCAACAGAATCGCACCTTCACATTTTTTATTTATTGTTGTAACAATTTTCTATTATTTTTCTTTTTCATTTTATTATTACTAATGTATCTTCTCACTCTCCAATACACAAGATTTTATTTTGGTCATTACACCTCACTGTGTACATCTCTTTCCTCTCACCTTTTTCTTTATGAGTTTTTGTTGGGAACACAAATGCAATATAAGACGAAAGTAAATAACAAGAATACAATGAATTTACGTAATTCAGTCAAAGTGACCTACATCCACGGTTGCACTAGATAATAGTTCTTATTCACACAATTAGGTTTACAATTACATGAGTATTTATAATAAAAAATAAGTAAATGGGTCAGACCCAATAACCCTTCAGACTCCACATACTTAACAATCTCCTCAAACTAGTGCAATGTCTGTTCAACAATTAGTCATGAAGACCAATTGGAGTTATGCAAAACTTTAACTTTTCAGTAGTAACCACCTTAGTCAACATATCTGCAGGAATCTTTGACCCAAGAATCTTCTAGCAAATATCTTATTCTTATTCAAATTACTAAAAATTTGTTGCTCATGTCAACATCTATTAAGTCTTCAAAGCCTACTTTTAATATTGAAGATATAGTACTTAATTGTTATAGAAGCTCTCTTACACTAAAGACAAATGAAACATTGATTTGTACACAAAATTGGTGTCGATCTTCCTCATAGTTAACTAACATTGAAGAACTTGAGTTAGATATTAACAAATTTGAAATAGGTATTTTCTTACCTATTCTTTAAACTTTTACCATTACTTTTAACTAGTTTTTCATTGGCTCATACTTTTATTTTCAGAACTTGGTCCATTCTTACCACTTAATGAAGAAACTTTGATAGTGAGTCTAACTAGTAGTTGCACTTGGAGTAGTGATGATATTATTGATTGCTTAAAATTTTTGTTATGTTAATTATTTTTTATAAATTTCAAGAAATATTCATTTTAAATATTAATTAATGATGCTTTAGCTTTTAGGAAGTAGCTATTGAGAAGCATTGGAAAGATTTATTTATTAGAATATGTTTTAATTTTAAGTAATATTCATTTACACTATTAATTAACTATTTCTTATGACTTAGAATATTATTTATTATTTTATGTAAAATTTTATTTGATATGGAATACGTAATTTAATGAAAAAGGGTATACTTTTTATTTAATAATTATTTTATTATAATACGTTTAAAATTTTTATAATAAAAAACATAAAATCATTCAAACCAAACTGCAAATTTTAGTTTAAATTAAAAAAAAAAACTAAATCAAACTGAACTAAATTGAAATTTTATGTTTGATTTGAGTGACTTTTTCTTGAACTAAATTACACTATAAACACCCTTATTTAAGATTATCAATTAGAACATAGATAGTTATTATTAATGTGAAAGCATATATTTTGTTTTATTTAACAATTATTTTATTATAATATGTTTTAAAATTTTATAATAAAAAAATTGCAACAATCATCTAAACAAAACCTCAAATTTTGCTTTAAATTTTAAAAAAAAAACTAAATCAAATTGAATCACATTGAAATTTTATGTTTGGTTTGAGTTACTTTTTAGTATAAAATTGAACTAAACAACAACAAACATCCCTAATTGAGGTTTAAAAGGTTTATAAAGGGACAAAGATACCAACTTTGGTGGTGAGATTGACGGGTTTAGGTCTTCTTCCATGGACACACTTACCTAAGTATCCCATCTGCACCACTGCCTGAGGCACATGCATAGAAACAACATAGACACCCCTAATGCTACAATGAAAATAACAAATTACAGAAAACATACATACATGTCAAGAATATACAATGAAAATCACCAACAACATCCATTCATTGAGCAATATATAAAGACAAACATACATACTTATCAAGAATCAACATTGAAAGGAAGGATATAGAATAATACTCACTGTCATAATAAGTTTAAAATATTCTTAAGTTTCCTTTAAATTTTGTAATATAATAAATAATTTAGGTTGATTCTCTCCGCTACTCATATCAATTTTATTTATTTTTCGTCTTCCCATATTCTCATTTGTTCAAATTCTTCTTGTATAAAGTTAAATTGGGAGGTTTTGGGATTCAAACACCAAAGCAATTGAAATGTAAACGCAAACTGAAACTAAATTCAATAATTGTAAAAAGAAAACTAAATTAAATAATAGCAAAAAGCAAAGAGAATTGAAAATAGCATGATACAATAATTAAAACATCAATATACAAATTTAGATACATATGAATTGAAATATCATTGTATCTAATAAAATATCAATCCATTTTAACAATTTATACAAATTAAATCAAATAATTATTTAACCTAAAATACAATTCATTATCAAATCAAATTTCAATTGAAACATAATTTAAATTCTAAAGTATAACAAAGCAGATCATTATCATATCATGCAATTAGATAAAACACTTTTACATGCAAAATTCGATTATTCAACAGTCTCCTCCGCTTGGACAAATGTATTAAGCTAAAAAGACAACGAAAACAAAAGAGAAGAGAAAAAATAAAATCTGAAAAGACAAAACAAATTTTGAATGAATATACTTTTGGTGTAAATTGTTATGTCTTTTCAATTTATAAAGTGTTTATATAACACTTTAAAGGAGGAAAAAAATGGGATTAGGGTTGGATCAAAATTGGTCTTTGGAGTCTGATAACAAAAATACAATTTCATGTGTAAAAATTCAGTTGTATGTCAAATTATAAAATTTATTAAAAATAATTGTCAACTCCAAATCTCATATTCTATATATATATAAATTGAATATTTATAAACACTACAAAAAAAATGCTTATTATCTACGGGTAAAATTAGTAGGTAATGCATTCACCTAAACAAAATATTTTTATTTATTACAAAACTCCTCCCTTATTTTTTATTATTACCTAGGACCCCCTCCCCTTTATATTATATTTTCGAAACTTTGAATTATTATTAGATTAAGATAATTATCATTGGCGAGGATTGAACCCAGTACCTCGAGTTGAAGGTCGATACTCCAACCACTAAGCTTATTAGGATATTTTGATAATAATTTACAAATAAACTATATTTATATTTATCCAGTGTAAATATATAAATATAAAATATATATAAATATAAAATATATATAAATATAAAATATATATAAATATAAAATATATATAAATATAAAATATATATAAATATAAATATATATAAATATAAATATATATAAATATAAAATATATTTATATTTTGATATATTTATATATTTATATATTTATATATTTGTATTTATATATTTATATTTATATATTTATATTTATGTATTTATGTATTTATATATTTATATATTTATATATTTATATATTTATATATTTATCTATTTATATATTTATGTATTTATGTATTTATGTATTTATGTATTTATATATTTACACGAATAAATATAAGTATAATTTAGTTGTAAATTATTATTAGAATATCTTAATAGTTTAGTGGTTGGAGTATCGGTTTTCAACTTTAAGATCTTGGGTTCGATTCTTGCTAGTGACAATTCTTTTAGTTTAATATAATTTACCTACGGAATTACCTACGAGATGACATTACCTACAGATAATTACTCACGGATAGAATTCCGTAGGTAATGTACACTTTACCTACGAATAGAATAGAATTTCGTAGGTAATTACCTACGGATAATATCCGTAGGTAATGGATAATTACCTACGAATAGAATTCCGTAGGTAATGTATAATTTACCTACGGATTTTCATCCATGGGTAATATCCGTAAGTAATGTAAAATTTACCTACGGATTTTTATCCGTAGGTAATATTCCATAGGTAATAGACTTTTTTTTTGTAGTGAAAATGAAATATAAATTAACAAATATATATATATATATATATATATATATATATATATAATTTTGATCAAAATGGTAAATAGAGGTCAAATAAAAAAATTACAAAATTAAAAATATTTATTTAAAATAGACCCAATTAATTATTAATAATAAAAAATAAAATATAAAAATTCTTAGAAAATACATTAAAAATTTTAACATGAATAGAAAATATATACTATCTCACACGATGAATAAAAATCCAAAAGCAAGACGGTGAGGGCACACAACAACGCCTGCCAGAAGATGGATTGCAAAACAAGAAGGGATAAGCAAATGCATGGCTCATTCAATTTAAATAAGCCTCTTGAGAGGCGTGGCTCACCACGCAAAGCAAATCACAAGGTACTCTCCCCTAATACAGAAATAAAATATCTTATAAATTATGAATAGTTATCCAAAAACTATTTTATAATAGATTTTATGTTCTGTTCTTAGGGTTTTTTCTTTTTCATTTTTCAAGGATATATTTACTTGTTGAGTGAAATATAGGAAAACCTTTATAATTAATTCTCCCTTCCTCTCGGTCACAGTTCAGAATAATTTGGATGACATTCATCGAACTCACTCAATATCAAAATATAGGAAGAATATATATAGGATGAATGCACCTGCGCGGTTGCATTCGAGTTGGCCGGAGCCACAATCACCGGTGGCGCAGGTGAACCCTCCATCGTTTTTGGAACATCCGGTTCGAGCCCAGAACCGACCCGACCATGGAGATGGAACGTCCACAGAGTCAGATCCTCCTGGAGCCAACTCAAAACCCATTTTTGACTGCTGAGAATTTTGGTCGCAGGTTTGGGTTCCTGGCCACACCGTGTATGAGCATTTGTTTGTGAAAGTAACCTTCGCTCCCTGAGCTACTGCCCGTCAAAAATTGATAGAGATTTTATTTCTTTTATATTTTTTTTCTTTTTTTTGTTTTGTTTTTTATAGTTACTGTTTAGTTTTCTTAGCTTTGCTTGGGTATTATATATAATTCTACTATAAATCAATGTGAATGAAATAAATATTCTGGCCTTCTTAGTTTTTCTCTATTCTTATTCACTCATATGGTATCAGTTTAATCTGTTTTTGCTACTCTTTCTTTCTTCATGGTTATTCTTTCATTTGATCATCTCTCCTGCCCTTCTCACTCTCTGTTCCTTCACCCGGGAGAAAATCTCAGGTTAGTTTTTGTTTCCCCACCTTTTGATGACAGTAATTATCAACAATAAATACGCGATATCTTCATTACTCTTGAGACCAAAAACAAGAAAAAAATTGTTCTTGATACTCTTCTTTATCCTAAGTCCACTTATCCTCTTTTTGAAGCTTGGTATCGATGCAACAAGATGGTTATTGCTTGACTTATATTTGGTCTGATCTTCTTCAAAGGTTTTTCCATAACAACAAATTTCGCATAGCTAACTCCAAGTAAACCTTCAAAATTGTAAACAGGGTGATTCTTCCGTTTCTCAATTTTACACTCATCTTCAAATATTGTGGAAGGAGTTATCGCTGTATCATATTGTTCTTTCGTGTTCTTGTTCTTCTCCCTGTTCTTGTGGGTTGATTTCCAAGATTCATAAAGAACGTGATGATTGTGTTATCAAGTTTCTTCGTGGTCTCAATAACGAGTACTCTCAAGTCCATTCACAGATCATGCTTCTTGATCCTATGCCTTCTCTGGTGAAAGTCTTCTCTCTTATTCTTCAACAAGAACATGAATTTGGTACTCCTTTACTTATCCTTCATATTCTCTTGCGAATGTTGTTATTTCTAAAAACCCTAGTAAACCCACTTGAGGTGATTATTTTAATTCTCATGGTCGTGGTCGATTTACTAAATCTGGAGGTCGTACTAACAAGTTTTGTGACCATTGTCATAGAACCAACCACACCTCTGACAATTGCTGGATAAAGCACGACCTACCCCTAAATTGATACTAATTTCACTCCTCCTACGGACGCTTCTGCCACTACGAAAGACTCCGCTAATATTCAGCATGGTTTTTCTAAAGAGCAATGTGATACCATTCTCGCTTTGATCCAACAGTCACAACAAACATCTTCTAAATCTCCTGTTGTTCATCAATGCATCACTAATACCTCAAGTATTTCTTTTTCTTCTACCTCTTGGATAATTGACAGTGGGGCCACTGATCACATATGTCCCTTTCAATCTTCTTTTCAAAATTTAAAACCTATCTCTCCCATTACCATATCCTTACCAAATAAATAAGTGCTTTGTTACTACAACTTTTTTCGACACTATTATTCTAGGCAATATTGTTCTGCATGATACCCTTTTTGTTCCTGATTTCAATGTCCAATTACTTTCCATACCCAAATTAATTAGTTCTACTAATTGTTTAGTCACATTTTATCAAAATCAATGCTTCATATTGTAGAACAATACCTATCAGACGATTGGAGTAGCTAGGAAACATCAAGGCTTGTTTTATCATACCAGTAATTGTGATCCAAGTTTGTCAGAAACCAATATTAATTCTCATCATTCTTTTGTAGTTAACAATACTGATTCTTGTACACTATGGCATATGAAATTGGGACATCCCTCTAATAAAATCTTACAAGTTGTTTCTCAATATTCTGATTTTACCTATTTTCCTATTAAACCTTGTGATGTGTGTGCCTATGGAAAACAAAAACGTCTCCCTTTTCAATCCAGCATCACTAAATCAACACAATTTTTTGAACTTATTCACGTGGACATATGGGGACCACTTTTCATAACCTTCCTTGATGGATACAAGTATTTTCTAACTATAGTTGATGACTATAGCAGATTTACTTGGATTCTTTTTCTTAAAACCAAAGTTGAAGTTAAAAACTCTCTTCAAAATTTTATTTTACTAACCAAAAATCAATTTTCTTGCAACCTAAAGAAAGTAAGATCAGACAATGATAAAGAATTTATTTTACCCGACTTTTATTCTTCTAAAGGCATTATTCATGAAACCTCTTGTGTGGCTACCCCTCAACAAAAGGGCATTGTTGAGATGAAGCACCAACATCTTTTAAATGTTTGTAGAACTCTTTTTTTTCAAGCACATATGCCTCCAATATTTTTGTCTTACTCTCTTAAACTTATTGTTCATATCATAAATCGCTTACCCACACCGTTTTTGCAAAATAAATCTCCATATGAACTTGCTCATTCTACTAAACCAGATTTTTCTAATCTAAAGGTTTTTGGTTGTTTATCATATGCTAGTACCAATCTTGCTGGACGAACAAAGTTGGATCCCATAAGTACAAAATGTGTCTTTCTTGGATATAAATTTGGAACCAAGGGTTATCTTTTATATGATATTCACTCAAAATCTGTTTTTGTTTCTAGAAATGTTATTTTTCATGAAACCATCTTTCCATACACTTCTATAACAACACAATCTGATTCTACTTGTTTTGATACTTCTATTTTTTATCTTGACGTCCCTATAGTTTCCTCTCCTACTTCTATCACATCTGATATTGTTTTTGAAAGTTATGAGATTACTGCCCCTAATATTCGTACTTCTACATGGATAAAAAACAAACCAAGCCACTTAAAACATTACTATTGTGGTTCTGCTTCTCATTTGCTTTCTTCTTTCTCTACCCCTTATCCCATACATCATTTTGTTTCTTATGACAAATGCTCATCTAACCACATTTCTTTTTGCAACAATATTTCCGCCCAATCTAAGCCTCTTTCCTTCAAAGAAGATGCTCAAAGTGAGTGTTGGACTAAAGCCATGGATGCTGAACTATTTGCTCTCAACAAAAACCATACTTGGACATTAGTACCTCCTCCTCTTGGTAAGAAACTCATTGGTTGTAGATGGGTCTATAAAATCAAACACAAATCAAATGGTTCGGTTGATAGATACAAGGCTCGATTAGTAGCAAAGGGTTTTACCCAAACTAAAGGTATAGATTATTTTGAGACTTTTTCTCCAGTCGTAAAGCTAACTTCTGTTCGCATCATTCTTGCGCTGGCTGCTGCTAAAAATTGGTTTATCCACCAACTTGACCTTGACAATGCCTTCCTTCATGGTGATTTGAACGAAGAAATATACATGAAACCCCCTCTTGGATTATCTCTTCCCAACCCAAAGTATGTTTACAAGCTTCACAAATCATTATATGGTCTCAAACAAGCAAGATAGTAGAAATTGGAATCACAAGCTCACTACTGCTCTTCTCACTCTCGGATACTCTCCAAGTAGTGCTGACCATTCCCTTTATGTCAAAATCACATCTTCCTCCATTACTGTGTCACTTATTTATGTTGATGACGTGCTTCTTAGTGAAAATACATTGTCTGAAATACAACTTGTCAAAACTCACCTTCATGCTTAGTTCAAAATCAAATATTTGGGTCCTCTCAAGTATTTTCTTGGGTTTGAAGTTCTTCGGTCCTCTGCTGGTCTCCTCATTAATCAACGAAAATATTGTTTAGACCTCATCTCTGAAGCAGGTCTCCTTGGTTGCAAGACTGCATCTACTCCATCTGATCCTTTAGTGAAGTTACATGCTGATGAATGTCCTCTTTTACCTGATCCTTCATCTTATCGTTGTATCATTGGTAGATTACTTTATCTGACTCATACACAACCTGATATTTCTTTTGTTGTCCAACAGCTTAGCCAATTCATTTCCTTACCCCGTGAGCCTCATATGCAACAAGCCATGCGTATTTTAAAGTTTTTAAAGAATGCTCCTGGACTTGGTCTTCTCTATAAATCTGGCACTGATCTGAAACTTCAAGCCTACTCTGATTCTGATTGGGCTTCCTGCATTACCACTCGTCTTTTTGTCTCTGGTTTATGCATTTTTCTTAGAACTTCTTTAATCTCTTGGAAATCCAAGAAACAAACCACGATTTCAAGATCTTCTTCGGAAACGGAATATCGTGCATTGGATTTCCTTACTTGCGAGTTATAGTGGCTAAACTACATCTTTCAATATCTTCATCTTTCCATTCCAACACCTTATACCACTTTCTGTGACAGCAGCTATGCCATTCAAATAGCAAAAAAACCCTACCTTTCATGAAAGAACTAAGCATGTGGAGATTGATTGTCATCTCATCTGACAGAAGCTCTTGGATGGTCTCATTCATCTTCTCCATATTCCTTTAACCAGCCAGTTTGCTGATGTCTTCACAAAGTCTCTTCATCCTTCTCCTTTTAATTTTGTCACTTCCAAGCTTGGCCTCAACAATCCTTACATCTAGCTTGAGGGGGATTGATAGAGATTTTAGTTCTTTTATATCTTTTTTTTTTTTTTATAGTTACTATTAGTTTCTTTAACTTGGGTGCTATATATATTCAAGTCTTCTTTCTGCTGTAAATCAATGTAAATGAAATAAAGATTTTGGTCTTCTTAGTTGTTCTTTTCTCTGTTCTCATTCACTCACACAAATACTTAACAACTCAAAATCACATATTACACAACCTTATATACAGTGTTATTTTATATTATCATTTAGATTATTAAATAACCATCACATATTTATATTAGTACGAGGACTAACTTCTCCATTAAACAAGAAAAAATATACAGAAAAAAGAGAGTTTAGGTATAAAGTAAAATTAATTTAAAAATAAAAACATTTAGAAATTCTATTATAGATAATTTTACAAACTATTTTATTTTTAAATTTATTTTAATTTATAAAAAAATAATTTTATTTGATTATTTTGTCTCCTAACACAAGATAGTATAAACATATCATAAGAAAATATTAGCTTTCATGCATTTTTTTTATGAAAAATA